ACATATATTTCTAAGAAGATATTCCTACCAAGTCTTAATGCATGACAATCATAACATAAATCACACACAATCAAACAGTCAAACAAGCTCAATGGGGGAGATAACATCCATCAATAACCTAGAGCACAGATTAGAATATCCTATACTCCATCATACTAGAGCATGAGACATTAACTAGGCATGTTTATCAATTCTCTTGTTCTACGGACAATTTCATAATTTCACCATGCACATGTCATGATCACAAAAATTGTTCATTCTCGGTTCTCATTACACATATTCTAACCACCTAAGGTCCATCATGCTCACATACTATCTTGTTTGATCCCTACAAATATTACTTGCCTAAAATCAAGGTGGTTACTTACTCGAATGAAGCTTGCTTTTATGCTATTTGAGAGCCCCAAATTTCTTGGAAGCTCACAAGTAGGTCTTGAATTAAGTTCAATTTAGGTCAATATCAAAACTAGGACAAAAAATAGTCAAATTGGGATAAAAAAGAACCTCAAGTGCCCAGGGGCACAGATGCACACGCGTACGGTCGCACGAGGGGAGAAGAACGTGCGTTGAGGTACTGCCATGTGGTGCGAGATGAATGGTCAATCAAGGTCAAGGACGTGAGTTCAAATCTGGAAGCGCGCGCTAGGAGTCAATTTTTCTCACGCTGACGCATGGCACAGCTGGTCGGGTTGCGCGCAAGTTAACAAGTAGCCAGCCTTCGATTCCTGCTCCGACGTAAGATTTTCTTGATTTTTTGTCCGCCAATACACGTGTCTTTCTTTTCGAGCGCGAACCTTTCTCCACTCGACAATTTTTTTATTTTCTTTGGAATTTCTTTCTAATCACATGGATAATTAACTCAGTCTAAAATTTGCAAGAAACATCAATACCTAAATCCTTTGGCGAACATCGAAATTCCTATTTTCAATCTGAATCGATCATGATTTCCTTCACGAATTATGAGCGCAATCCTCTGTAGATTAACATACTCAAATTTCAGAATCTAACTCTCAATATTTCTCATAGATTTTAGGGAAATCCTAAAGCAAAAGTTCAAGAACTTACCTACGAATTTCCTTTGTTCCTTGACGGTTTTAGACGATTCAAAGGTCCATAATGCTTCTTATAGGTTCTGTGAAGGACTTGTGAAGAAATCTCTGCCGGAATCAAAATTTTTGTGGCCGGATCGGAATTGTGGGGTTACTTTTCCTTCTCTCTCTTTTCTTTTTCTTTTTCTTTTTCTTTTTCTTTTCTTTTCTTTTTCTCTCTTTCCTTTGTTTTCTTTTATTTATCTTTTACTAACCTCCATTGAGGTGCTTAACGAAGAAGGAGCTCAAAATGACCAAATTATCCCTTCAGGGTTGACTTTGACCATTTTTCTAATTTTCCACCATTTTGCTTTTATATTTTCTTAAGTTCTTGTGATATTTCTAAGGATTTTTCTCTTCCACCTCATCTCGAAATTCAGTCTCTAAGTTTCTCAATAAAATCCAGAAGTTCAGACTTTAAAGGGAAAAAATTAGGTTTAAAGTTTCTTGTTAGGGCTTGGGTGTTACACATTATGAGAAATGTTATGTAAAACCTTATGATATGAAAGTACGATAGCAGGGTTGTATTAAGAATAATTAAAATGGAAAGATTTAGGGACCTCATGCATTGGGGGATACCCCTATTCCTTCACCATAGTACGGACGCATACACTACTAGGCAGGAGAATGATCATTATGTTTGACATAGTGCTGTCGTGATGGTCGCTACTCCTAATGGGTGTCCGACATCAACAACTCCAAAGTATGTGCACCCGACCAGAAAGGGGCCTAGAAGATGTGCGAACCGACTGGTGAGTCCATACTCGCACATGTGGGCCGTGTGTAGGAAATTAATTACACATCCAAGTTGCTTGTTAGGATAGTCGCGGTAGGCAAACAAACTATTATGATAGGTCTCATGCATGCATTTGTATGTCTTTGCATTATAACCCGATAGGGGGTCACTTACTGAGTACTTTTAAAATACTCAAGCCACATGCTACTATATTTTCAGGTAAAAGCAAGGCGCCCTTGTAAGGCTTACGGTGACATCGCAATCTCTAAGACGCGACACATGCTTAGGATTTCACATTTAATTTTAGTAGACTATAGGTTAGTATAAGTTGATTGCATTTTCATTTAGTAGCATGTAAGTTAGTACAAGGCATTTTATTTTGTATTTTTCTTTTTTTTCATTTTTTTTCTTTTTTATTAGTTTTATTCAAAAGCATTAAATAAAGTATGCAAGGTTGAAGATGGATTTCATTATAAGGTTTCAATAGAGTTAATTCTGCGTTAAATGTTCATGATATATGTACCATAGTAGCCACCTTAGGTTAAGTAGAAAATTTATGGTCATGTTTGGTATTATTAGGTCATTAATTAAAAGCTACGTGTTCTTTAGTTTCTAACTTTTTGTTGTAGTACTATTTATGGCATATATAGATTGAGTCTAACAAAAAAAAAAAAAAAAAAAAAAAATTAGGTTTTTAGAACTACTTAAAATCACTCCAAACTTTTGCCAAGTGTTACCGGGTAAAAAATATTGCAAAAATGGTTGGACATGAAACTATTTATTTTATTTTATTTTATATATATATTTTTGTGATTTATCTTCTCCTATGTTTCAAAATTATAAACTTTCAACTTTGTCAATGTATAAATTTAAAATAAATAAATAAATAAATATTCTGTGTTCCCACCTTCCTCAAACATCTCTCCAGTAAAATGATTCAAAAAAGAAACAAAACAGGAAAAAAAATAGTAAGGAAAGATGGCAGATTTTAGGAGAGAAGAATCAGAAATGGTCTTCTGAAGTAGGTTTAAGGAGGAGAAAAGAGATAAGAAAAGTTATGGGTTAGATCTATTTTCTTTTATATTTTGCAAATAGATAGAGTTGGATGATGAAAATTAGCTAATTTAGGGAATGGTCATGGGTTTATAAACAAAGAATACTCTCTCGAGGTTTTGAGGAAGCCCAAAGCACAGCTGGATAGAAAAGTTATATCTTTTTGGTTTATCTTTTGCAATTATTTAAAGGTTAGATATCTGACATAAAATCAAAATTGATTAAAAATGGCTTATGATAATTGCATGTAAATTGGATCGTCATATTTTAGAAAAGAAAAGAAAATTAGAATGGATTGAAAAATGGTTTCTGTTAATTGGATAGTCATAAAGTGGACAATATCAAACCATTGTGGAGAGTCGTGTTCATCTAACAGATAGAAAAGTTAGATATCTTTTTCTTTTATCTTTTGCAATTATTTAAATTTTAGATATCTAACATAAAATCAAAATCGATTAAAAATGGCTTATGATAATTGCAAATAAATTGTATAGTCATATTTTAGGAAAGAAAAGAAAATCATAATGGATTGATACATAGCCATTTTTGGCGGAAGAAAAAAATAGAAATGGCTTCTGTTAATTAGTTATTTTTAGAATTGATTGAAAATGGCTTTTATAACTGCATAGTCCTTAGTAGGAGAGAAAAATACAGAGAAAGAACAACAAATTGGCACAACATAGAGACGAAGATGGGAGAGGTGAAAAATTATTACTATTTGGACCTAGATAATATAATATTATAACAAACAATACTTTGATTGAATGATTGAAGTAGTATGAAATAATATTGACATATTTTTAATTTAAGTTTTACTATCCAACAAAATTTAGAAACAATGAAATCTTCGAATTCGATTTTTACTGAGACCGTTCTAGAATAATATTGACATATTTCACATTGTTAGTTGGATTATTAATTAAAATGTAAAATACTAACGAAAGGTGGCGAACGGTGCGATATGAAGCGAACCCCAGCAACCTTTGGAGTAGCTCTCGAGGAACGGAAGCTTATGTTAATTAAAATAGGTAAAATACTAACGAAAGGTAGCGAACGGTGCGATATGAAGCGAACCCCAGCAACCTTTGGAGTAGCTCTCGAGGAACGGGAGCTTATGTTAATTAAAATAGGGAATACTTCGGCTAAAGTCAACCAAGTAAGTGACCTTACTATAGGATAGGAAAAAAAAAAAATTGTATGAGATATGATGATGTATGAACTCTGTCATACGATGTCGTTAGTATATGAAGATGTATGAGTTATGATGATGTACGAGTTATGATGATACGTGAGTTGTGATGCTTAATGATATGCGTACGTAGTATATATATATTTCGATGAATGACGTACTTGATATGCTTGATGCACTTTATGGCAATATGATGAATATGATAATTGCACGATGTTTACCTTAATATGATGTTGTTTTTCATATTGAGCATGTTATATGATGATGAGTGTCATATTGCATCATGTCGTTAGACCGACATAGGATACAACCCTAAGAGCATGAAAATGATATTAATATAAATACCCACGAGTATGTGTTGCCTAAAGTAACAAAGAGATGAGACTAGAGGATTGTGTCAGAAGAGACATTATGATGGATTTAGAGGGACCTCATGCATATTGTATGTTCATAAGCATAGGGCTACTTCCCCTAGAGATGATGAGTACGGACGTGCACAGTATGATGATAAGTGTGAATGTGCACGAGTGCGAATGCACACAGATAAGGGTGTTCATGAGGCGCATGACATTATGGGGTTCTGGTGACCTTCGGGCATCACTACAGATTAGCTTTACCAGAGGGTACAGGGGGTGTGCGAGTGCCCTGGAGATTCACACTCGCACGTGTGAGTCGTGTGTAGGGAAGTACTACACATTCAATTTTTCCTAGACTAAAGGCCACCCTTATGATGATAAGAGATAGGTCCCTAAATGTAACGACCCGAAATTTTCTACTTAATTTAAGGTCGCTACTGTATACATACCATAAACATTGAATGCGGAAGACTTCATTTAAATTCTATAAATGTCACGACCCAAAATACATAACTCCAAGCCGTGACTATCATGAATTATGTCATGTAATGTAAAAACGAGAAAACCACAGAAAAACATTTACAACAATAGAATTTCATTTATTTTGTGAAAAAAACGTTTCTTTACTAAAAGGACATATGTGTCTAGGTAAAAAAAAAAAGAAAAAAAAAGGAAAAAAAGCAAAACGTGAAGGACAAGTGTTCTATTTAGTAAGACTGGACTGACGCCCCGGGTCACGCCTCCTCTGTGACAACCCACATCGATTAATGCGCCCTCTCTCGACTCGACGCGTCACGTACCTGGAAAAAAAAAAGTATAACAGGAATGAGTATAAAATTTATACTCAGTAAGCCACCTACTTATAGGCTCTTACCGCTTCCTAATCTTAGCAACCACCCTCCACGGACCCTACAATAGCTCTAGGACCTCTGGTTTTCGTCTTAGGACCTTAGGACTTACCCCTCGCGACAACTTGGTTCTTTGTCCTTTCATTTAAAGATTCTTAAGAACTCCCTTAAGCTAACCTGTGTAATGACTGGTGCCCTACGAGTAGCTACCTCGGCATGGCTCTGAGACTATCTGGTAACTTACCTAGGAAGTGAGCTGCAACCCCCTAGGCCCATGACAGTCCCCCTGGTCGGGGAGAGCTACCCCCCTTAACCCATCCAGCTAAATGGTCTATACGACGTGGGCACACGTTTCCCATGCTAAAACGGCTAAGAATAGTCGGATTCTGATCAGGAACCCCCTTTTCCCCCACGAAGCTATGACACCAATCACACACCTGTAGCCTAAGGGTATCCTAGTGGGCTTCATACACCGTGGTGGTCTGTTGCTCTACTAGGGAAAAGATTAGATCTAATACCTTAGTACCTAGTTACTCTAACTAAGAATCCCTAGACTTATTCATAATTGCGAGTCATGAAAAATTAACTGAGTATGTTATAACTATTATCCAAAATCCTCAAAGGCATTTCATGCAAAGTGATCATACAAGCTCAACGGGGTGATAACATCCATCAACTCCCGGAGCGCAGAGTTCGCAATTTCCCATCCTCCATTCAGCATGAAAACATACATATGCAAATTCAGCAGAAACTAAAATCATATCAGCAGTATCCAAGTAACTCTCATAACAAATCACAAAATACATCTAATGTTCAATAAACTATTTCCTACGATCATTAACGGAAAGCTAGAACCTAAGATATTCAGACTAGCATGCATGCATTCCAAGCGGTTCCTACAAGTAATACTTCCTAAAAATCCGTGTGGTGACTTACCTGGATGGCGCGTGTCCTTAAGCAGCGTTTCCACACACTTAACGTATCGAAAGGCGGTGATTTTCCCTCAATTTGGTCCTATTTCAAACAGAATGGGTTTAGGATTGGAATCAGGAGGAAAATTGTGAAAATAGAAATTGATCGAGCCAAAAATAAGCTTACACGCGCCAGCCACGCGCCGGGGAGCAACCACTCGCGGGTTCCACGCGCGAGAGTGACGCGCCCAGAATTTCCTGCAGTCGCGGGTTCAGTACGAACGCAGTGGCTCGGGTGGACCGCGGGTCATCGATTTGGTTTGGTTTGCCGCGCGGGTATCGGGTAAGCTGACGGGCGCAGGTCGGGTGGCGTTGCCAGGGACGCGTGCCGCAAGGAGGCTGGAGCCGCGTTTTCCCAGGCGGCGCTCGACGCGTGTCCGGGGGTGATTGGCGCTCGCGGTCCTCTGGTTGGTTGACACATGGCACGCCGGCGGCTTCTCTCTCCTCCTACCAGAAAATCAAGGTTTTTCGATTAGTTTTTCCAAGGTTCTTTCCATTTTCTATCTTTCGATTCTTAATCCAAACAGAGGTGATTTCTTCAACAAAGTTATAGATCATCTATCAACCTACATGCCAATATTATTTTCCTTGATTTTTGCTTAGTCATACGATGAGTTTTGAGCGTCGAAAAGAGGTTCGGTAACAACCTTACCGTTCTTGGATAGTCTCTCAGATCTCGTCGTTTCGTCCATTTTCCTCACCAAGATCAGTGGCGGATCTTCCCTGGATGAAGGTAGTAGACTTAATCATTCTACTCCTAAACAAAGATCTAAGATCTGGAAGGTATAGTTCGAAATCTTACCTTGCGGGTTTTCTTTCTGATCTTGAGGAAAGAGGAGGAAATCTCCACACGAGTTCTTACTTCACTCCAAGAAGGGCTCCAGAGTACAGGTCTTGGTAGGGAATGGATTCCGTCGGCGACTCTCCGACGAAAACTCCGGAAAATCAGTTTTCTCCCTCAAACTTTCTCTCAGTCCTTCTCTCTCACTCTTCTTCTTTTGCAGGAACTCTGAGGAGGACGCTCAAGACCCCTATAATGGGCTGAGGGGTAAAATGTCCATTTTGCCCCTCGGCCGTTTTTTTTTTTTAACGTTACAATAAAACATAACCTTTATCTTAAAACACAGTCATGGACTTATGTGTTTCGAAAAAATCTTTAAAACGACACAACAAAAGACTCGAAATAAAATAAATAAACGTTTAAGTTTAAAACATCCTATTCTATCCTAAGTCTACGAAAATAAATGCCACTATCCCATGCATGTGTCATGATCTCGAGTTGCGATGCCGTCGTCAGCTGTACAGGAATGTCTTGCCTTAACCTGAAAAATGTAGTAGCACATGGCTTGAGTACTTAAAGAAATACTCAGTAAGTGACCCCACTATTGGGGTTAAATGCAACAATCACATGCAATGAAATGATGGGACCTATCTTTCGTTTCGTTTCGTTTCGTTTCATTTTTCCTACGGTGTAATCCTAACAGGTAATCATGGACGTGTACCATATACTCTACACGCAGCCCATACGTGAGAGTATGGGCTCACCAGCTAGTTCGCACACCGCTGGGCCACTATCCCTAGCTGGTGGGCATGCTCTGGGGGCCCACCGGGACCCGTTAAAACTAAAACCGTCACAGCAGCGCTATGCAGGGCATAACGATCCTTGTCCTGTCATTTGGATGTACGCGTCCGTACCCTCGTGATGGGATAGGGGTATCCCCCCAAATGCATGATCACACAATATGCATGAGGTCCCACTAGTCCTACAGTCATCATTTAATGAACATAACCCCGTGTCACGTTTTCATGCTTACATGTCATTCTCATTCTCATTTCGTTACATCATACATATTCCTAGCGGGGTTATGTATCATGCAATTTACCGTATTTCATGTCATACAATTCATTCAGTTACATTTCAATACTCATACAACAAGCCATAATCGTACAAGGGCCACACATCGTCACATGCATTCATATCACATGAACTAAGCAGCATAAATAACATACATTCACGTTCACATGATTTTGTACGTAAGCACAATAATCTAGCATACAATGTATCATATCATAACCAAGTCATAACGTAAACACTTCATAGTCATATCGTTCTCTAACTTACCATAGCCTTAACGTTCTTATACCTATCACAGACATATCATTACGTGACGTACCTTAGTCATATCGTCACAAGAACGTACCCTAACGCTATCGTTCTATCAATCTATCACAAACCTATCCCTTTCTACCCATAACCTAACCGTATTCTTTCATCAATCTCTCCTATCCATAGCAGTCCGGTATGTAACCTAACTCTAATGTTTCATGAACGTATCTTACTCCTATCGTTACATTTCGTTTTGTGCATCCTTCTCGTACCCTATCTCAAACATATCCTTGAGCACATCGTACCATTATTATTATCATACAAACCACATATTATTACATAACATAACATATAGGAAGCATATCGATCCACAGACAATTCACACATATCAATATATATGACACGTGTAGAACCACAGGGCATGTGTCAACATCAAATATAACCATGCCGATAGTAAGGTCACTTACCTGGCTAGCTTAAGTCGTTGTCACGAATATATCTTTAATGAAAGTTTGATTCCGTCTTTTGAAATCCGGGTCAACCTATATGAGCCCATGACATTAGTTTTGGGTTTGAATTCTACAACATTATTTCTCTAATTTACATTGGTCCATTGTTAGAAGTCTTGAAATGTTATATATCTATAATTATATTTTTATTAAAAATCTCATTTTTCATAGGTACTATGGTATAAAACGTAGATACAGCTAAGTTATTGTGAGCTTTATTGTTATCTGTATTTACCCTCTGTATTTACCTTTCCCTCCATATTTAGTTTCTATTTTTAATTCCCTTATCTTTTTTTTTATCGGTTGCTTTCTAATTCTGTTCTCATGTATTCCAAATTTACATTGGATCTCTGTTTCCAAATCTTTCCTATTTCCTTTATCTCAATTTTCTATTCAGAAGTTTTCTTTAATCTATTCATTTGGGTACTGTGATAAATGATTTGACATTTAATTTCTAACTAAAGGATGGATCATGGTAATAATTCAACAAAAATCTAACTATAATTATTTGTGATTTCTAAAAAAAATAGGATAAAGGAAAATGAAGATTTAATACATACCTATTGATCAGATCTATTTTCACATAAATCTTCAGCTAATCTCAACTGGGTAAAGGTCATTCTCATCTTTTTTTTTTCTTTTTTTTTCTCAATTAAATCTGACAACTATTGTTTTTCTTTTTCTGTTTGTAGTAACTGTTAATTTTTGGCGATGTGTTTGAGGAGAGATAATTGTGGGAAGGGATGAGAGGTTAGTAGAGAGAACTGGGGGAAATGTTGTTTTTATTTATTTATTTATTATTATTTTAACTACCTTACTATAATTATTTTTATTTGTTTATTTATTTTTGGCTATTACATTATATCCCTCTAAAAGAAACTTTCGTCCTCGAAGGTGTTTTAATCTTAAAATAACTCGGGATCTTATTCTAAGAGTTCTTTGTGAAGTCTTCAAGTACCACTAAGTATAAATTTTTAACAAGTATACTCTAATCCATATGAGTCATAAACATTTATTCGCATGCATCAAACTTATCACTTGGTATTCGTAGAAACTTTGATTTCATATAAAGTGTCTTGCTGGATAGTTACATATTTTAAATCTTGATTCATACTCTAAAATTGTTTTAATTCCCTAAAATCTTTCATACTTACCCTTAGTATCATAAATAAGTCTCATATAATTTTCATATAGTATTTTGAGTCTCCTAGGATTTTGGAAATGTCATAGAATTTTCATAAGGGTCTTTTGGTCATTTACCAACCCAAATCTTGGTTTAATTCTTCAACATATTCCAATGGTCTTGTAACTTTGTGCAATCCCTTTATACCATGACATACGGCTCCTCATCAAATTTTATATCACTTGGAGGTCACTTTGGTCAGAAGCTAGTGGTACATAATTACAGGGATATTTTTAGTCATTTTACACCTACACTTGGTTTAGCCGGTTATCATAACCTAATAGTCACCAAATTTCGTACATAACCTTATCATGCCCTATTGAGCCTTCTTCTAAAATTTCATGGACAACATAATTTATCTAAGGTTTGTGGCTCAGGCACTTCATTGATGTAAATGTTCATGTGTACAATAAGGTTGAAAAACTTACCTAGTTCCTCACTTTTTTTTTTCTTCTCTATAATTCCATCTACTGAATCAATAGTTTTACTACTTTCTATTTACATTGTTCTCCAAATCAGATTTTCTACACTTAGCTAAAGGTTCACTAATTGGCCTGTTTGTCCATACATCCTCAAAATCTCATTTTAAAATACGGATCTCCGCCTACACAAGAAAATTGTTGATAAAACTCCAAAATGACACTTTCTTTTGATCTAAATTTTTCCTCTCCTTATCATTAAAGAAAGACAACGAAAAATTTCAGGGTAGAAACCTTCTCGAGAATTTCTCTTAAGATTCGAACTCATAGCTGATGATAGAACTAGAATAGATATTTTTTTGTTTCCTACTGCACGCATTCATACCTTTGTTTCTCGATCAATCTCTAATTCTAATCTTCCTCCCCAATCAAATAATATGGTGCCGGTATAGATCGAAATTTCGTTATAGTTCAATTCTAACAAGTAATAGATACCGGGGCTTTGCAATATTTGACGGATCACAACTCTATATAGTCCATTTACTAGAATTCATTAGAGGAATGTTTCCAATTAACATTGTTCGTTCTCTGTATTTTTAATAATTAAAAAAAAAAAAGAGTTGTTTTTCTTTCCACATTATTGTTTGTATTTGTATTGTTTGTAAGTGTCCACTTGCTTTGGTTCGGGTCTCATCTTTGTAGATGAATTCCATACACAAATTTTCCTATGTAACGACCCTAAATTTCCACATACTCAGAGTCACTACTAACGTCTCATGGTCATCTATAATGCGGAAATATAACTCTTACATGAACATAATTGATAACGTAAACTTCAAAAAAACGTTTAAAACAACTCTTTCTCTCGAAAACACAGCCATGGTCTTATGTGTTTAAATATGAAATACTGAAATTTAGAGAAAACAAAAACAAATACAAAATAATTTGAAACAATGAAATGCAAAAAAACCTATTCTAACTTAAGACTAGAAATTTAAATATGACTCTACCCTATGAACGTGCCACAGTCTCTCCTCGCGATGCCGCCGTTCTCCGTACAAGTGTGCCTTGCCTTTACTTGAAAAGTGAAGTGGCACATGGCCTGAGTATTTCAAAGAATACTCCGTAAGTGGCCCCACTATAGGGGCCATGCAAATGCAAACACATGCAATCATGATTTAGGGACCTATCTCTAATCATCTTAGGGGTGGCCTCTAGTCTCGGACAAATTGGATGTGTAGTACTTCCCTACACACGACTCACACGTGCGAGTGTGAATCCCCAGGGCGCTCGCACACCCCCTGGACCCTCTGGTCAAGCTAATCTGTAGCGACGTCCAAAGGTCAGCGGAACCCCATAGTGTCATGCGCCTCATGAACACCCTCATCTGTGTGCATTCACACCTGTGCGCATTCGCGCTCATCATACGGTGCGCGTCCGTACTCATCATCTCTAGGGGAAGTAGCCCTATGCTTATGAACATACAATATGCATGAGGTCCCCCTAAATCCATCATAATGTCTCTTCTGACACAACCCTCTAGTCTCATCTCTTTGTTACTCTAGGTAACACATATTCGTGGATATTTATATTAATATCATTTACACTCTCTTAGGGTTGTGTCCTATGTCGATCTAAGGACATGATGCAATATGGCACTCATCATCATATAGCATGCTCAATATGGAAAACATCATCATTTTAAGGTAAACGTCACGCAATCATCATACTCATCATATTGCCACAAAGTGCATCAAACATATCAAGTACGACATTCATCAAATATCGTAACTCACACATCATCATAAC